TTTTGAATCTGCTATTTTAATGAATGATGGCTACTTTGACGTGGAGAACAACACGATGATCGCAGTCAGTGGCATTTATTTTTATGGGGACGTCATCGTGAGCTTCGCTGGGCTGTTGCGAGTGGCGGACTGCACCTTTGCTGGCATCACACTGTTTTTTAAACCTGCGCTGGTGCATTTGGACGGCTTTGTGACCCTCCAGGGTGGTGCGCAGTGGCGTGTGGAGGGCAACAACGTGACTGCAGCCTCAGTGATAGGTATGCCAAAATCCCTGTACAAAATGAGGTTGTTGGGCAGCGGCACTGCCGTGGTGCTTGCACACAACCGTCTGGTGGACGATAGCTTTCCTTTTGCTGAAATGTCTCTGTCGAACATGATTGTGGTTTCACCTGCGCGGTTGGTCGTTGGGTGCAACCTGCAGGGCGATGAGGAGGTGTCGTACGACGGTGTTTTTCCTGAGGAAGCGATGGTGTTCGGGTGTGGCGCGTGCAACGACGACGCGGCGTGCTACATGCCCGGGACGGAGTCGGTGGACCGCAGCTCGTGCTCGTGCAGCTGCAAGGACGAATGGCATGGCGCGTCGTGTCTTCCCTTCGAGGTGCCCGACACGGTTGTGCCATCCTTGCCGGAGAGGGCCGTTGACGGCGACACGAGCTGCGTGGTGAACCAGACGCTGACGAACGTCACGCTGAACATGTGGAAGACGCACCACTGCTACGCGGGCGTGACATTCAGCGGCATGGGTGCTGCGCTGACGTTTTCTCTCAACAGTATGCCGCTGCATCTCCCCATCAACATCACGCTCATTGGGTGCACATTCCGTGAGGGAGCCGCGCTGGAGTTTGTTGGGGGTGCTGAGGCGGCGGAGTCAGCCGGCGTTCTGATCCGTGTGGGCCAGGCGATGATGCAGTCCTCCGTTGTTGTGTTTGCACTCGCCCTCCCGCAGCACTGCGACATTGCCGTCACGGAGGTTGACGCGGTGCAGTCTTCTATTGTCCAGTTCGCAGATACTATCAGCAAAAAGTTGAGCGTGGTGACTCTGCACGACGTTGTGTTGACTGCGTCCTCGCTGTTGGTCAGCAACGTCAGGGCGTATGCATCAAGGTACGGTGGGTTTGGTTTGTACTCGACAGGGACGCTGACGCTGGTGGCTGGCAGTTCTCTGTACACGCGGTACTGCAGCTTTGATGGGTACATGCACCTGTTTTACGTGAACATCCTCAGTGTGAGTGACCACTCCGTTTTTGCGCTGCTCAACAATACGATGTTCTCCGGGACAAGCTTCTTGTATCAGAAGCAAATCTTTAGCGTGTCGGATCACAGCGTGTTGCGTGTGGTGGGGAACAGTGGTTCCGTGTCCAACGCCATCTGTGCATATAATTTTTGGATTATCCAGCAGTCAAGTTGGTTGGACTGGCGTGACAACAACGTGGAAGTGGGTGCGATGTTTCGTTGCTCCCTAATAACTGCTGGGGGCATCGACAGCAGCAGTGTGGTGACGCTGACGGGCTGCAAGATGGGCTTGACGGGGTTGTCGGGACCACTGCTATCGCGTGCTAACGCTGGCTACCGGTTCGTTGCTGGGTGCCTGACGGTCGCGGGACGGATGGTGACGACGGCGGCAGAGCTGGAGCTTCACGGCATCACCAACGTGACGACGGTTGCTGCGTGCGGGGAGTGCACGAAGGACGGCGACTGCTTTGCTCCGCTGACGACGGCGGTCATTGACTGCAAGTGCCAGTGCGCTGCTGGAGGGCACGGCGATGCGTGTGTCCCGGCGCCTGTGCCTGCTGGCCCGCCGCCACCACCGCCAACAACACCACCAGCAACACCCACGCCGCCACCGCCGGTTGGTGAGTGCATCAGCGACATGGTGTACCCCGAGGTTGCGCAGGCTGTGGGCAGCGGGCTGTCGTGGCTGTGCTACCGCAACGTGACGTTCAGCGGGGACGGCATGAGCCTGACGGTGCTGGTCGGGGCGATGGCGGGCGACGTGGCGAATGTCACGTTCGATGGCTGCACGTGGAGGGACGGCGCCGTGCTGTTGCTGTTGGGCAACGCGTACGCCGCTGTGGGGTCGCTGAACATTGTTGTCACCGGCAACACGTTTAGTGACGCGCTGCTCAGTCCGGAGGGTGTGTTTCCACCGCGCACGAACATCACGATCAGCGGGAACCGCTTCACTGTCGCGAGGCTGATCCCTCGATTTTGTTTGGTCCTTAGGAGGCCGTCGTGTGTCGCGATGAATGGACTGGCGATCAGCAACGACTCCGCGGTGGTGCTTAGTGGCAATGTTTTTCAGAGCGTGACGACATCGTCGAGCGCCATTCACGTTGTTGGATCTGCGCTGAGCGTGTTGTGGCACTCCGTGTTTGCGTTGGTGGGCAACACGTTTCATATGGCCGGCGCTAACGGTTCTCTGATGTATATTGGGGGTTCTAGAGATTCTTTGTCGCTGAGTGTACTGAACAACTCTGCAGTGGTGATCCGAGGCAACGCTGTGACGAGGCCGGTGAAGTACTTTATTGTATTCCTTTGGTCCTTACGTGTGGAGTCTCAATCAGCGATTGTGTTTCAGGGTAACGAGATGCAGGGAAGCTCGGTGGTGTTTTATTCAAGCTACTCCCCGAACATCTACTACAACTCCTGGCTGCAGTTGAGCGGCAACTTCTGCCGTGAATCCCCATCGGATGCTTTTCTCTTTCTGAACCCCACAGTGAATCTCCGCGACTCCACGGTGTCTGTGTCTGGCAACCAATTCATTTCCGGCACGTTCACGCCGACAGTACTGTGGATATCCTTAGTCTCCCGCGATCTCACAAACGGAGCGATTGTGGCCGCGTGCAACACTGTGAACGGCGAGGAGGAAGCGAACTACGCCATTCCGTCCGTGTACAATGCCAGCATTCTGACCTGCAGCGATCCATGCACCCTCGCGGCATCTTGCTTCCCCGCGTACACGACGACGGCCTCGAGTGATGGCTGCGCCTGCAGGTGCGCTGAGGGCGGCCACGGCGATGTGTGCCTGCCTGTCGCTGTCCCCGAGCCACCGAGCACCGACGGCGCCGACTTGTGCGTGCGGGACGTGCGTGTGGATGTGGAGGTGAGCGCCGGTCTCGGGACGTCGGTGGCGTGCTACGTTGGTGTGACCTTTGCGGCGGATGTCGTGGTGGACGTGGAGTCGATGTCAGGGAGCGTGCGCAACGTGACGCTGGCGAACTGCACGTTTGTGGGCGGAGCGAGCCTGTACGTTTTGGGGTGGCTGTCCGACCCGCCTGCTGGCGAGCGCGCCGATGTGTTGATCAGCGGGCTTGAGTCGCGCTCCGGCGGCGGCGTGGTGGTGGCGAACCGATTTCCGCCGGGCTCGCGCGTCACCGTGGTGGACTCGGTGCTGATCGCAGAGAAGCGTGTTGCGTACCGCGGCGCCTACGGCCTTGGCAACCTCTCTGCGTGCCTCGTGCTGCACAGCGTGAATCTGACTGGGAGCGTGCTGACCATTGCGCGCTCGCATGTGGCGGCTGTGTTCCGCGACGCTGTTGGCGTGTTGTTTGTTGGCGGCGTGGCGCTGTCGTCGCGCGGAGCGCTGTACTTGGACGGGCTGTTGGTGCAGACGGCGCTGGGGCTGTGCGTGTCGGTGGAGGGCGGTGTTGCGGCCAGTGGCGGCTCCGTGGTGGCGTTTGTTGGCAGCGACTTCCTGCTGTGCAAGCACGCGGTGTCTGTGCGTGGGACTGTGAGCGTGTCGGGCTCCGCTGTGGCGTTTATGCGAAGCGAATTCTTGTTGACGGAGGACTACGCGGTGGCGTTCTATTCGACGGTGAGCCTGGGTGGCGGGTCGATGCTGCTGGTGAAGGGCAACGTGCACGACGGCGTCTCGAGGGAGATGCTCTACGCTGCTGGCGCCGTGACCGCTGCTGGGAGCACGCTGAGCTTTGTGCGCAACCGAGCGCTGCTGCCGCGGATGGTGTCGCTGAGCCTGTCGCTCTCGGCTGGGGCGCATGTGAGGGTGGCGTGCAACGACGCGGGTGGCCGCTTCCTGTCGACGGCGGAGGAGTACGCAGCGGCTGGTTTTGGCGACGCTGGGCGCATCGACGTTGCTGGGTGCGACGACTGCGACAGGGACACGCACTGCTACGCGCCCGGGACGGCGTCGGCGAGCATGAAGAACGGTGTGTGCGTGTGCGCGTGCGGCAGCGGCGGGTACGGCGAGGCGTGCGTGCCTGTGGGAGCTCCCGCACTGCCGCCCGCTGTGGGCACTGCGCCAAGTGTGTTCTTCCGCGAGGGCGTGACGCTGCGGTCGGTGTTCGTTGTGCCTGCCGGTGCGAGCGAGGTGACGCTGCGCCACGTTGTGCTGGACGGCGTGAGTCCTGTGCTCTACGTGCCGTGGATGGCGCGGGACGGCGTGCGGATCGTTGTGCAGAACGTGTCGCTGCGTAACGGCGTCGTGCTGTACGTGATGGGCGGTGGAGCGCTGCGCGGTGCGGTGGCGGCGGGAAGCGACGAGGGCGGGCCGGTGGAGCTGTCGGCGTGCGATGTGGAGGCGCTGAACGGTGCGCTTGTGCTGACCGGCACGTTCCCCGCAGGGTCCGTGCTGACGGTGACGGACTCCCTGCTGGTTGCCACGAGGCCGACGCCGCTTCCGTATCTTCCCGGCTCGCAGTCCTCGCCGTACGCACCGGTGCTGGTGCTGTCGGGCCTGCGGCTAGTGCGGTCCGTGCTGGTTGTGTCCGGCGTTGCCCTCGTGACTGTGATGACTGGTGGGCGGACGGTGGTGGTGGACGGCGCCGTGCTGGAGCTTGTCGGTGGCGGCGTTGCGCTGGACGCGGCTGTGCTCGGTGGCGACGTTGCGTTGTACGCGAGTGCGCGCGTGGTTGCGTCTGGGAGCGCTGTGCTACGCGTGTCG